TGAGATATCGACACATAAATTGGATGCAATACTGGAATATGGCAAGGAAAGACCTTCCTTTTGATAGACCATCTTCCATCTCAAGTCATTGGACTCGCCACGCTTGCGTAGGCGGGTACTAAGCAGTTGGGTTGTCATTACCCGAGACCGCGTAGGCGTTGGTCGAGGGTAAAGCAGTCGTCCTGTCTGTGTGTTCGCTTTGACCTCCACTTTTGAGCTGACACTGCTTTCTTGTCTTGTCCTGGAGAGTCTTATAATCAATACTAGCTCTAGAAAAAGTTATTCTCCGTCTTGGGATTCCTTGATTTGTCTTTTCCGTGGTAAAAGAAGCTGGCAAAGTCGCCAAAAGTAGTCGGCTCTCCTGCAGCTCTTTCGTAGTGAAAGCAAAAGAGCAACAGGGCAGATAAAACAATTAAGCAAAGCCTCATCTTTCATTAATATGAGAGGAATTGCTCCAATCTTCTTCGTTTTAAAGATATGATAGCCCAAACTTTCATACCTTGTGAGTTTAGACGAGGCTCTCTTCTCCCGAGGTAGCGGCCAGAGTATTTCAACATTAGAGACTAGATAGCAGTTTGTATGCAACAAATAGAGCCTAACAAATGTATGCTAAACTTTATAAAAGTCGAGAAAAACCAAAGCTTTCTTCACCACTTAGGGCCATGTGCCACCATTTACTGTTGGGGGGTGGAGCATGGCTTGATTGAGCCACACCTTCATTGCAGCCACACCTTTACATTGCTGCAGCTAGCAGCAGTGCAGCAAATATGCTGGAGCTCTTTGTCTAAAGAAACAAAAAAATTCTCTGTCTGTCTAAAACATTCACTAAGTTTTAATAAATCTAGTACATGCTGAAGCTTCTTCTCTGTCTCAAAACTTTCACCAATTATTTTCTCTTAATTTATTGAAACTTTTACATACAGATTGTGTCGAGGGTATGCACTTTAGTGCTCTCGTTCTGTCATTCTGTCCACACACTTTAATTGATTTGTAAAAAATTATCTTTTTTTCTGAGCAGTCTAGAGCTCTATTTCTTCTTCTAGCAACAGATAAAGTTGCTTTCTTTCATATAGTTATGCTTTTGTAGCATCCCGTGACACCAAAAGCTGTGAACTGCTAAACCAGGGGACCTCTCTCCAGGTGAGAGCTCGTGTTTCACTCTACAGAGCCGAGATTTGCTTCAGAGGTAGAAAATCCCATCTAACGAAAAACAAAAAGAACGATTTTGTCCTAACTTCGTTGTTTGTGAGTTACAGTTGCTCAAAGTTTGTGATTTAGCCTCTTTGAGAATTTTTCAGGCGGCACTGGGGAAAGCAGGAGCAACCAAACTCTCTCAGTCTCTTTTAAATATCTAGAAAAATTTTCTTTGCCAACTCTTTCTTGGAATAGAGCTTCAGATGCTAAAATAAATTTCAGCTTTTCTTCTTTCTCCGGCCATGTGCCATGATTTAGTTAGTTGTTGACCACACCCATAGCTTATTTTAATTATCATTATAACTATGCAGTCCATAATAATAATATTTTTCAAATTGCTTAAAATATCACAGTACAAGTAATAGATATCACTCAAGTGAATTCCAGCAGGCGAGTCCATTGCACCATAGTGCTTCATCTTAAAATTGTAGTCACTTTGTATGTACATGTACATGTAGTTTATTAAAAAAGACTGCTCTCATGCTGAAAGAGGACAAAATATTCTCTTTCGTTTCAAAGATTATGATGGATATATTGAATTAAAGTTTGATGCTCCACAAGATGAGCCATTCACTGGTTGGAGTATTAAGCCTCACCTTAAGCCTTGTAGAGTAAGTACTGCAATATAATGTATAACTGATGGTTGGTATGTGTATATTAATAGTTTCTACGTTGTGATGTTGATAAGTTTGGTGAAGCTAATTATCCACTTCCTTCCACTTGTCTAATATCAGTATATGGGTCACCTGGTGCTGTACCATCATTGCACTATTCTATACCACTGGATGGAGTGGCTGATCCTAAGACATTATTCATTCACCGATCACTGAGAACTACTCCTTCATTAACAAGTAATAGATAAATCATTTCAATTGTTTATTTACGTAATATTAATCAGATCCTTCTTCCCCCTCCTCCTCCTCTAACGTAGTAGATGAGTCAACGTCAGTACCTGAAACTAGTAAGTTGATATTAACACAATAAACACACTAATCACTGAATTTGTATCATTAATAGGTTCATTTACATCTGAAATTGCTCATAGAGTAATGACAGAATGTACTACAATAATAAAGAGTTGTGGGATCAATATTCACTTCTTGGTTGACAAGTTGTTGGAGCACAATATTATCAATGCAAGAGAGAAAAGAGAAATAACTGATGGCTACACTAAACAAACTGCTGGTGAAAGAATGGATGAATTGCTTCACATCATTTCAAGCTCTATTAGTATGGATGGAAAAGTATTTGGGATATTTTTAGATATACTCAGAAAGGAAGGTACTCTAAGAACTATTGGACTAGCTGATAAACTAATGGATAAATATAAATCAATATAGATGTTTTATTCTTATTATTTTGTTGATTTATACATTGTATTGTT